TTTAAAAAAAAAAAAAAAAAAAAAAAAATTAAGAGAGAAAGCAATGCTGTACTGCTGTCAACAGCTTAAAAGACGTAATAAATGATATAAGTTAATTTTCTGTCTGTTATTTGTACTTATTTCATCACATATGTTCGCATCAAATGAACATACTCTTACTAAATTTTTATATATAAATTTTTTAGAATATTTAATTAAACTAAAAGTATTTAATTAACAAAAGTTTCAGTTGTCTTACCGGAGACAATGACTAAACAAAACTTCAAAAAAAGCTTATTCCCTTGTGTAAATAACCGTCTCTTTACAATGTTGGAACTCGAGAAATAGACTCTTCCACTTTTAGGGTTCAAAGGGTTTAAGGAGCTTAAAATTTCCCTTCTCTTGGTGAAAGTATTTTCGGTCTTTAAAGTTTGAGCTTATAAGCTGTGTTTATATTAATTTTAACGTACAAATGATTAATACTCATTTTTTTCTACAAGAATTAATTCGGGTAGTTCAGTGTTTCTCGACATGTAAATCGCGAATCCCTCAGTTTCATTAACTAGTATGTGGGACGTTGAATTCTAAAATGTAAAACTGCTATTTACTTTTTTGAGGCAGACGGACGAATGGACTAATTAATTACATTTTGTACAAAGATTTGATTAAGATTAATTTGATGCCAATAATTTTACAATATATTTTGTTGGTAATTATTTACATTAAGATCGTTAAGTGTTTTCTTTTAATTCTGTTTTGAAGAAGCAAATTTAATAGACCTTATACACACAATAAAAATGTTTTATTTAAAACAATAGATATAATACGTTATAGCAGAACTTTATGAGAGTTATTTCTTCAATGATTACAAGTTTCATATGAATGTACCAAATAACATTACAGACAAATTCACTTATTCGACCTGTATTATTTATCGGTGTACAATGCGGGAGAAATCATGTTCAGAATTAATATATAGGTACGACGGTGTTACGTTATACACTCCTGTGACTATAGGGTCGGTATCTCTTCGATACCTCGTCAGGATGACACCACTGTGTCCTTCGGTCGATACAGAGATCATAAGTTTGCGCGAGCGGATAGGTATGAGGGTTGGACCCGGAATGGAGAGAAAAACGGAAGAAACTGCACCCGAGAAGTTTTAACATAAACAACCGTTTATTTATATATGTTTAACGTAGGTTTACATTAGTTAATAAAATAGTTCTAGTTTTATCGATAATTTTCTAGTTTTAGATACAACTGATTTCGCGTTTAGTTTACGCAGAGAGAGAGAGCGTACAGTAGTGCGCGGGCAGGATAAATACCTTAGGTAGTATAGGAGATCAAGTCCAGCAAAAAAACGTTCAATAGTCCCTTCCAGTTAAACATATATTGAGGTCAGGTAAGTTCAGTTCTAGTCTTGTAGGCGAGAAGGAGGTGTTGGTTGACGGAATCTCGGCGGAAGGTAGACGTTCGGAGTGCACACACAGACACCAATAATAACTTCCACACTTACTCATCGTGCCTGTCCCCTTTTACATCAAGTCCTCATTTTCGAACCTTTTTCCGATTTCGTCAGCGATGACGATCTTCTTGGTCCAATGAGGGGACACAATCGTGACACAGAAATGTACTCATCTCAACAAGGAACCCAACTCGTGGGAATCGAAGTTTTTATTCATTTTATTTTTCCTTTTTTTCTTTTAATTTTCTGTTTTCTCGTTCTGTCTTTATAAAGTTTATAAAAATAATTTTTTTTTAGTTTAAAACACAAAATTTCTGGTCCTCACACTCCTTTTCCATTGAAAGCGACGAGGAACCACATGATGCCACCCGGCATGGAATAGCCGCAAGCAATGCGAGCATGCGCTAGGTGGGCCTTTTAACTAATAAACATATCAGTAAAAGGTTATTTCTTTTTTCTTCCGATTCTAATGTAAATTCGTAATTATGCTTTGTGTGAATACACGAGAACAAAATTCAATTTTTACTTAATTACGAGGCGTCGATGTCCGTTTATTTAAAACATACAAAATAAGTGTTGATGAAAAGAAGACCTAAAGATGTTATTATCTGTTACTGAATATAACATGTAATTGATTATTTTTTGTAAAATTAGAATTTCGTAAGTCACTTTCGTGTCGATAAAAAATCTTCCATCTTCCACCTCTTAACGAACTTCTTTAATCACTTTTTACAATGGATGTTGATTGATAAATATATCCCTGCATATTAATTTAAAAAAATCACCTTTATTCTATTAACAGAAATGTATTTCGGGCTACTCCACTTTTTAGTCTGCTGAAGGGCATAGCCCGAAATACTTCCCTATTTCTAGATTAAAAATGTCTTTTCTTTTCAAAGATGCAGAGTTTGCTGGTAGGATAGCTCCTAGAAAATAAAACTTGATAATCGCGGAGCCATCAAAACCCAAAATGATAAGCTAATACAAAAACTTTAATATTTTAAAAATAGCTACAGTACAACAGAGATATTTGTTTCAAAGTAATAATAAATACCTTTTTGTTGTTTAGGGTTTCTTTGGGTGAGATACGAATCCAAAACGTAAAAAAGGAAGAAATTATTATATCAGAAGCTGAGTTAAATAAAGTCCTAAACAGGCATTTGGAACTTCTCATTACGGATTTTGAAAATTCGAAGGTACTGTTTATGCCTTATCCAATCGAGACCATCAGACAATTCGTTACGTAAGTTTTTACGAAACTTATTTTTTATTTAATTGCAATACTTTATAATACATCATCATAATTTATATTTTTTTAAACAGCTATGTACAGACGGACGATCCCGGATTGACCTCTTTTACACACGCATTCGATCTGTATCATCTGAGTTTAAGATACGAGTTAGAAAATTTAAAAAAGAAATGCAGATCATTTATCATTCGGCAAATAAAATTGCATACCGTCTGTGCAATCCACGATTTTGCATATAAGATCGGTGATTTGGTCATAACTTATCATTGCTGGCAATCTTTCGACGAACACGGAGAAAGACTATTTACAACAGTCGATTTTATGTGCTGTAAAATTGCAACAATTGATAGACTTCTATCTCGAGCGATATACGAATCTGTCAGTGAATTCCGTTTACTCCAAGCCGTGTATCATTGGAGCATAGAAGAAGTTCAAAGAAAATCGGGTGCAGACAACTTCCATTCGATGAATGAAGAATCGAAAAGGAATGAAGTAAGAAATGTTATGGAGCCATTTATTGGAAAAGTCAGATTTCTTGCCATGAATGAAGACGAATTGCTATCTTATGTTTTTACAATGAACTTGTTAAGCAAAGTAGAAAAGAGTCATATCTGGCATGCTTTTAAATATGGTTATTCTTCTTTGTATCCCAGTTACTTCAATCGAGAAACAAACACAAGAAGCAAAAAAAATTATTGTAACTTGTTCTCGTACATAAATCGTGGAGTTCCTATTATGGTCGCAAACAGAAAGATGGAAGGTTACATGTATTTTAGCAGCGAAGTAGTTGTGATGGAAGATTGTTACGTCACGGCTCTTCGATTTCCGGTGAAGCTTGGCGAATGTTTTCGAATGTGCGTAAATGGGTATATTAACTCTTTGGACAACAAGCAGTTTTCGTTCGACACCGTATGCAATTCAGAGGGAGTAGCAGATCTGGAAACGAAGTTGTATCTAGAAAAATATTGGAAAGTTCGTTTATTTGCTTTGTTTTACCGCGCTGGAAATGTCCAACCATATTTCGAGTTTTCACGTCAACTGAGTTACTTTGTGAGCGAAGAAGGAACAGAAGCCAGGAAATTTGAAGACAAATTCCTAACCTGTGACAGAAACCTTATGAAAAATATTTACTTTTCGGTTGATTTATATTTCTGAAGTCAAAAGTTTTCCTGGAGTAAAGCGAAATCTAAACGAGAATATAACGTAAAGTTAAATTCGAATATGATTATTTCTTACTGTATCGCTGTAAAATTTCTGCAAAATATGTGTATATTTTCCTCCTCTATTTATCAGTCCCTTTAATAAATCTGGATTTGCTTTTACTTATGGAAATTATGGTCATAGCTGTTGTATTATAAGAAAATGTTTTTTAGTATGAGTTTTCATTGTTGCTTCCATATTTTTGTAAAAGGTAACTGTAACTTAAGAAAACATTTTTATCAATAAATATAAAATCAAAAACGACGTTTACATATCAAAAACTGTCTTTTTAAGATAAATTTTGTAAAATAAACTAATTTTTGTAATTTTTAAAAATATCCATTATAATTAAAATTAACGGTAATTTTTCTCTTTTAGATTTACAGCAATTTTAACAAAATAAACCGTTTTTTCAAGGCGCACTTGTCTGTAAATTATAAATTAAAGACGAGGTTTATTATACAGTAGAACCTCGAAAACTCGACCTAATGTGGACCGAAGGGTGGCCGAGTTTGTGAAAATGCCGGGTTATCGGGAATGGGGTTAAAAAAAATAAGTACGAGTGTTTCCTCAGAAAATACTGTACTGTACTTGTATGTATTGTTTACTTGAGAATATAACAGAGAATAAACTGCCCAAATACCCTTAAACAAAGGAAAAGTACGTCCTTTATGAAGGCATAGAGCCTTTACTACATGAAAATGAAAATTAATGAATACACTGTGTACAGTAATTTACCTGATAAGACAGACCTCAGAAAAATACTTTATGAGAGCTTTTATACTTTTATAAAGCTGTCTATAATGAAAATTAATTAACTAAGGATTTTTTTGCCCTGCCAGGGTGTGGCCGAGTTATCCGGAGTGCCGGGTTATCGAGAGCCGAGTTTTCGAGGTTCTACTGTATTTACATCTATGATAAATTTTATAAAACTTTTATTCACTATTAAATTCAATATTTCGAATAAATTTTTGATTTATCTCTAACATATGCTAGATTTTATGTAGAGATTCGGAAGATTCCAATTAGAATATCAATCGCTGGTCTATTCTACATAAATAAAACATTCGCAATTAAAGTAAGTGATAACGATTGTCATAATAATTTACATAAACCTTTAGATATTTAAGTATTTAAATTGTTTTCAGGTGACCAGCGCAGTTTATTCTTTCTTGTCCGCACTCATACAATTATCGGGTACTCGCGACCGATGCAAAATGGCGTATAAAATTAAAACTTATGTAAATAATACGAGTAGTTATGGCTGAAACTTTAATGAAACTATGGGTATTTATATTATGTTTAAGAGTTAAGTTTAGAATATAAATATATAAAACTGGGGAATTCATTCCATACTTAAAAATGTTTTTAAAGTAATAATTGTTGAGCAATTTCACGAAGAAAAATAAAAATTAAGAAATTCGTTAAGAATTAAGTATGTTACATTAACTTAATGTAATATTTCTTTACGTTATTCAACTTCATATAATTTTTCTGGAAAAAAAAATTTAATTCGATTTGTTTACTTATTTGGCAACGCAACACCTGTCTTGCTACGCAAAAATGCATACTGGGAAACTTATCTATGGGAAACAGCTTCAATTTACGAGTTAGACGTATGAAGAAAACACGCAAAATTCCATCTGGCCAGTCGGATGTAGAAGGCGAACCTGCGATCAATTACCAGTATTCAGCGATTTTATGCACTCGATCACTAATGGGCTTATGCAAACCTTTTCTTCTATCAATCTCTTCCGTCGTAATGAATCAAGCAGTAGTTAAACTTCTTTGTATGAAAATGTATCTTTATTATTTAAAGTCGTGTATTTTTTAATGCCGTAAACTTGTTATTTAATATATTTCTATTTGTCATATTCGCATATTCAATGCAGTTTTGAAGAGGTGATCCCTGCAAATGTGAAGTATTGTTCGTAATACCGTGTTCTCTTTTCTAATCCGTTCACTGCAAGTATGAAGAGGCTTTAACTTGACAAATATTTGTTAACGTCAGTGGTGTTAACATCTACTAAGAACTGTTTAAATACTATATATTGTGATACTCCCAGTAGATCCACGGTTAGATATTAGACTACCGATAGTACCACTCGACACATCATTCTCCATCTTTTGGTTTCATTACTCAACGCCATAGAAGGTTAGGCCAGTTTGTAATGTGCGTACTTATGCGACCATATAGTTTATAATTGTTTATGGCAGATGTTAAGTAATCAACCAATCAAAACTTACAACATTATTAGTACAATAAATATTTAAATAAGTAGAATAAATAGAAATATTTAAATATGAATAATCATTTTATTAACAAACCAAAAATTTGCAGAAAAAATTTATTACGTGTATTCAAGATTTGCATTAGTGATACATTAGCATTGGTGATACAATATTGATTGTAGTTTCATTATATTTGTTTAGATCGCTGCAAAAGAAAAACAAAAAATTTATTAATCAATTCATTAATAATCGAAGTTATGCGGAAGAAAAGCCGTGCGTTAAGGTGTTAGCTTACCGCTCTGGAAACCCGGAAACGAATCCATAAAGGTCAAAAACCCCAAAAGTTTTTCATGGGGTGGTCCGTCACAAATATGTCGTGGCTCGTCTTTCATAACCCGGCCACTCCACTGACCGGGACGATTTGACCAGTTCAACAATTGATGAAAACACTTCGTAGTGTCCACAAGGAGAAAAGTTGAAAGAAATAGATGTTACGTGATTTTTCTTTGCACCTTTCATTCGTCAATAAAGTAACGACATGTTATGGAAGCGTATATCATTACGTCAATTTAACATCATTTCACGCGTCCTCATTATAAAATAGCATTAAGATGACAACAAATTGACCTGTGTATTATTGTGACAAAATGAATGCGTCTTAGTAAACCAGTTAAATTCAGAAATTTCACTATCGTTCCCCCCATACGAAATACTTCATTCAGTAGTATTTTTTTCAGTTTTACCTCTTTTCACCTTGTAGATAATAAAATGGCATTTTTAGTAAGCTCATCGTGAGACCAAACCAAAATGAGGGCAATCGGGTAATGAAAGACTAGCCTTCAGTAAGCTACATATAAAGGCACATATTTATAAATATTTTGTGCTGAAATACATCTTAAGTACCGTAAAGTTTAGTAAATTATGGTATTTCAAATGAAATTTCAATATACTGTATATGTATATTGAAATATCATGTGTTTAACAAAATGTATTTTGTCTTATACAAAATTAATACAGTATATAGTTTAAAACACGCATGGTGATTCAAAATTTAAAAGTAATATTTACAATTCAATTAACGAATTAAAAACAACATCCAGTTGCCCGGTTTGCTACCATTTCAGTGTTTATCATTTATTAAAATGTATGTTTAAGTAATTATCTGATGAGGACACTTACCGAAATATGCTATGAAATTCAATAAAGAATTTTAATGAGGTTCTATCTTTTTGAAAATAATGAAATTATAAGAAATTAAGCGATTAGATATTCATTTTAAATTTTTGATTAAAAAAACAGAAATTTTTGGCTTGGCCCATACTTCGATGGGCCAATTCCACAATCAATGGCGCGTTATAGCTTCATGGGACCAGACGAATTTCAATAAGGGGCCTCGTATACAGCGTTGACATTAGGGGACTGGGCACGATACGTCTGGAACCGATCGCTCACGAAAACGATCCCGGAGTTTTTTGCTCCGATTTTATCCTAGGTAGCCCAGAGCAATAGGCTGAGGCTTTAACAGCCCCAGTTATCCTGCCGAGTAAGTTTAAAATGAAAATTTACTAAAATATACAATTTTAAAGTTATTTGACCTATCCTGTATCTTGTTATTAGAAAAGGTTTTTTTTTTATTTTTAAACATTACCTTATTGCCGTTAATGTGCACATTACCTAGCTAATCTGCACATTAACTAGGGTGATCCGTTAAAGTTGCTAAAATTGTTCTATTTCTCAAATTACCTAGGTAATTTCTCCTCAGATTTTTATTTCTCTAAAACGGAAGACGTTTGGTTTGGTTTGATAGCATTTGACAACGCAACACACAGACAATCTGCCAAAAAATTGCTTTTCCCTTGGACATTCTATAGAAAATTAGTCACTATTTAGATGTCAGACAGGTGAAGAAAACCCAGAAAACGCTACGTGATTAGCCCATTGACAGAGATTCTACCTCCGCGACCAACTACCAGTGTTCGGTAGTTTCATCCGCTGGTGGTCAAAATAAAAAGAATTCAAGAGTCGTAGATTACAATTACAGTAGAGCCTCGAAAATTCGGCCTAATGTGGACCGAAGGGTGGCCGAGTTTGTGAAAATGTCGTTATCGGGAATGGGGTTAAAAAGGGTATGCGTGTTTGCTCAGAAAATATTGTACTGTACTTGTATGTATTGTTTCGTCGAGAATACAACAGAGAATAAACTGCTCAAATACCCTTAAACAAAGGAAAAGTACGTACTTTATGAAGGCATAGAGCCTTTACTACATGAAAATGAAAATTAATGAATACACTGTGTACAGTAATTTACCTGATAAGACAGACCTCAGAAAAATACTTTATGAGAGCTTTTATACTTTTATAAAGCTGTCTATAATGAAAATTAATTAACTAAGGATTTTTTTGCCCTGCCAGGGTGTGGCCGAGTTATCCGGAGTGCCGGGTTATCGAGTGCCGAGTTTTCGAGGCTTTACTGTATCAAGAAAACTAAAGATCACAGCTTTAAAGACAATATTTAAAAAATTACTTTTAGAACTTTTTTAACAAGTATTGTATAGTAATATGGATTTTGGCAGAAGAGTGTGGCTACAGAATAATGGTACCAAAAGAAATAATGTGGAGTAAAAGAGTTTATATGCCTTGTTCAATAAAAGCTATGCGAAAAGTAAGGGTCATTTCGGACACATATTGTATTATAAAATTTACAATCAATGAAATTTATGAAATTTTAATATAAATATTAGAGTAGCTGTAAATCACTTTTTACAAAAATATTCAATTGCCCAGAGCATGATTACCAGCTGGCTAAGAAAAACCCCAAATTTAATATTTCGTATAAAGCACACAGTATAAATTTAATATAAATTAAGTACTGTAATTTGTAAAAAATGATGTTTTCAATTGTTTTGTTGTTTAAATCATACATATTTATGGTTTTCTGGGGGAGGTAATGGGCTACTTCACTTTTAACACTCCTTTTCAGAGTAGCGAGTAAGAGAACTTCTTTTTTCATATTTATTATGGAGCAACC